ATATATGAGTTTGTATGTAATGTATGAATATAATATACAAGTTTCACTTTTTAAATGGAATTACTGAAATAAATCTACTTTTTCATGATATTCTAATTTTATGACCAGCACCTGTATATATAATCTGACTCCAATATTGTCTGTCTATCACAACAAGGCTGCTCAAAATTAGCCCATTCATTATCGTGTGGGCACGCGTTAATTATCACATGCCCACGTTATTATCTCGTGGCCACGTTAAAAAAATAATTCCATGTCAATGGTCAGGCTCTTTACTTTAGTATCGGAGCTAGGCAGATTTAGACCAGTTTGTTTCATCAACATGGTTTTTAGACTGTCAGAGAAGAACTGCCACACATACATTAGAATACAACTGTTGCATTCCTGAGACCTGTTGGAGACACGTTCAACTATTTGAGATGATTTTGATGCATCCATAATGACTTGTGTCAGGTCTGAGAGAAAATATCTCACAGTAAAGTATTTCCTTCATGAATTCCATTGACCGTTTACCAGCTAGTTACCAGCAGTCACAGCCCAGTGAGATACCATAGCTTGAACATGTAGCAGAACTCAAAACATTTTTAAAGTCATCACAGAGTCGAGGAGCTTTGCTTGAAGTCTCTGAAGATGACAGAGGCATAAGTTACATTTGGAGGGGTGCACAAAATAGATTCAGACACCGGTGAGTTGAGGTACGAGCTCACTGGAGGACCAGTGCAATCACGGAAAGGGGAGGGAGGCATCAGAGCCACAGAGTCCTCCATTTTTAGTTTGACATCAACCAAGTCCTTCTTGTCATGAATCTGGGCATTGTTGTACATATAGCCTTGGAGAAGTCCACAGTGCTCACTGTCCTCCTCTTCCTCATCTAATGGAGAGACAGGCTCATCATCAAATGGGTCGAGGATAGGGAGGACTGGGTCCTGTTGGATGAGGTGAGCCTGGTGGTACACTGGCATGCCGCTGCTCGCAGCCTGTGGTAAACTAATGACACTGCTGAGCTCATGGAAGCCACTGTTGTTTAATGACACTGCTTCCAGGAGGTGCTCATTGGCAGCGTGCTGAGGGATGATGCAATTCTGCTGCAGAAGCTTGGGGGAGTAGGTCTTCACCTCCTCCCCCACATCTTTCGTTTGCCCACGGGCCAACATGGGGGGAGAGGGACTTTCATCCTCCTCGGCCACGTTGTACAAAGTCTTAGTGCTGAGGTCTGTGAACTCCCGGCTTGTGTTTTGGTAGGTGCTAGCTAATGGTTTGATGACAGCCATCTGATTGGAACCTGCTTCCTGTCTCTTCACATGCACTGACAGTCTGTGCCACATATGATCTCCTTTCGGAGGATGTCTTGCACCTGGTTCAGACCATGACACAGACTTTCCATTAGAACTATGAACAAAATAAAGATGACCGTTACTTCACAGGAACCCAGAAAGGTGAAGACAAGAAGAGCATTTTTAGTTCATTTAAAAAAACAAGCTTTTAAATTTAATAAAAAATAAATTCATTCTCTAAGTAGTGTTCCAAGATTTCTGCAGATTCAGTCCAGAGGTATTTAAACAGATTTTATAATACTTCTATAGTTAAAGACCAAGTATTCCTTGAAAAGATGCATATTATCAGTTGTGTTCGCTTGTGCAATATTGCAATATTTGATAAGATCTGTTGCAGCTCTGAATATGTGTTGAAGATGACTCTCAGCTTCAACCCAAACAAATTTTAGCTCAATATCTGTAAATTTGATGAAGTTACAGCCATTTTTATGATGGCTAAGATCATTTTAGTGTGACAGACTATTTTTGGGGTTGACTCCATGCATTATTTTGCTAACAGACTGACAAAAGCACACACGCACAAACAAACATCAGGCAATAAAAAGCCTTAAATTTAGTAGACTAATGGTTTTAGTCTGGTTTATAGTCCATGAGAAGTGAAACAACTTGCTGATGTGGTTGTGTGATTAAAATGGCTTATTTTTTTTCTCGTACGCCCCACTGAGACCTGTTTTGTACGTTACTCCCAGACAGATCTATTGTCTCGCAGGGTATGTACTCAGTATTGCATGATTGGTCAGTAAATTGTGGGCATGTTTGTTTGTGAAAAGTTGCAGTGAGCTGCTAGCTGAGACTGTTAGAAAACACAGTTGTCTTCACAACTGTTCCAGTAAAACTTAAAATGACAATCATATGAAATTTATCAAGTTTCTATAGTTTATATAGTCGGAGAACTTGTGGAAGGATACTGGACAACTGTTGTGCACAGAGGAGACACAGGCAGTGCTCCATAACTGTGCTGACTGTGAGGAATGCGCCTCTCTCGGGCAGCATTGGGACATAGTCCCACACTGTCTGTCAAAAACGGTGGTTTTTCCAGGGGATTCTGATGTTATCAGTCCATGAAATGGACATTATTAGGCATTATCAGTCCCATGCAATGGCTTCAGAATGTCCCTACTGTGCCTTCTAGCCTTCAGACTGTCCCGACAGTGCCCCCTAGTGGGTTAATATATCAATGTCAATGAATGTGTAAATAACCAAACCATATTTTAATAAATTTTTTGCCCTTGCCTGGTGGCAATCCTTGCTCTTCGTCGGTCTCGGGCCCTGGTCTCCCACTCTGTGGTCCGACGCTCTACCCATTGACCTATTGGAAGGCCACATAATACACTTGTTGGAGGGCAGTGTCTTTAGCATTAACCATGACATTTTCTCTAAGGTTAACCTTAGTGGCTTTTTGCCTCAAGTTAACCTGTTTTTTTATGCGTCATATTAACCAGATAGTGGCTTTATGCCTCATACTAACCAGCTGACAATCTGAAGCCATTCTATGGGACAGGGGAACCTGCTAAGCGGCACAGGTTTTCTGAAGCCATTCTAGGGGACTGATAACGGCCTATTAACGTCCATTTCATGGATGATAACATCCGAAGCGGGTGGTTTTTCCCTTCACAAATTTACCAAAGAGCACTTCTTGTTTCAACAGAGATATCAGATTTTCTTCCCCCAACTCCACCATTATCAGATGAAAAAGAAATCCACTTTTGTAACGTGCTGTCTGTGTGATGTGTGCTGCAGAGGGAGGACGATGGGGTGTGGAGGGACTTTTACTGGGACTTCTCCCCCCTGTTTCTGTTTGAGTATAAAATGTTCATGTGAAAAAGATTGTCTCACAATCATTTCAGCGAAATCAGTTTTCCCATATCTCGTAAAACCAGACCTTTAAATTTACATTCTGCAGTATTGAACCCTGAAGAAACCTTGTGTATGCAATTGTGATCTCCTTCTCCTTCCTTCAGCTCTCAGAGATACTGGCTTTAATTTAAGCAGCAGATCAAAGGTCGAACTGTCTGGATTAAACAAAGACCTGTATTTGCCCTACTTTACAACAAGTGCTTTCATTAAAGTAAATACAGATAGATGTTGAGTTCCCTCTGAGAGGGAATTACAGTAAAGGCAGCATCCCTGAGGAGCCTCAGGAGCATATTCTCAGTTAATAAACCCACCTGCCATTTTCAGTGTTCTTCTTCCTCTTAAACATGTTCAGAAGGCTGTTACTTCGGCAGGCTATTTTACCATCTCCCACATGCATGCGCACAGCATCGGAGGTGGTAAATGCACTGCGCACGTTCCGCTCTGGCTTGGCAATGATGATGTACATCTTTGGCGTGAACATGCACCCCAAAGCAACAGTCACACTGAGGCTGACAGAGAAGGATGTGGTGATGATCTTGTAGTTGCTGCCGAAGTAAATGGGCACGAATGCCAGCCAGATGATGCACGTTGTGTACATGGTGAAGGCAATGTATTTGGCTTCATTGAAATTGGCAGGAACATTGCGGGTCTTAAAGGCATAGTAGGTGCAGCTCATGATGAGAAGGCCATTGAAGCCCAGTGGAGCTACGACACCCAAATTGCTGGTGTTGCAGATTAAGAAGACCTCTCTGATGCTGGGATAGGATTTGATTGGTTCAGGGGGCTCCATGATGATGAGTGTAACTTCTAACGTTAGCTGAAGACTGATTAGGATGAAGGCAATAACCACCTGAGCCCAAGCACTCATGAATCTTGGTTTCCTGGTGCAAATCTTTTTTTTGCTGCCTGCCAGGATGCGGGCAATGCGATTGGTTTTGGTCACCAGGGCGGAGTAACACATGGTGGCTGAGAGTCCAACGAGAAGCCTCTGAAGGTAGCAGGACACCACTGTTGGCCGTGCAATGAGGGTGAAAGGACAGAGATAGCCCAGGAAAATTCCTGCCAGGATGATGTAGCAGAGTTCCCGGCTGGAGGATTTAACCACAGGTGTGTCCCTGTACAGAACGAAGACCAAGGCCACAAAAGATGTCACCAGGATGCCTAGGCAGGAGAAGACCATCTGGATGATAGACTCAGGATTGCTCCATTCCAGATAGTTCACAGGGATCGGCTCACAACCTGACAAGGAAGAAAACATCCCTTTATTTATGAACTTTTATGAATTTATGAACAATCTGTAAAACTTGACATGTATGTAGTTATGGCAGCATGGGACTGACTCGTTAGTCCGTTATAGACCTACATCAAATTATTATTTTCTAAAGGATTTGTTAAACCCTGTGCAGGATTTGCAAACAGTTTATTTCAGAGTAAATGACAACATTTTTTAAGTATATATCTTTCACAATCTGTTCACACACTATGTTTTGGGGAGCAGTCTCAGCTGCTACCACACCAAATTTAAAGTCAAGAACTGTAAAAGAAAAGCAAGTTATGTTAGTTTTGTGTTAAGTAATGTCACTTTGCTGTCACGGCCATCTTGAATGGGGTTCTCTCCAAAGGTTGATCAGCTGGAGATGAACATCCAATGATTACTGCCTACAAATTATTTTATATTGCCCATGGTTCATGAGACATGTGCAAAATCATGTTCACCTGTCAGTGGTAGGCAATAAATATCAGAATATGTCAAAAATTCTGATGAATTTTAGTTATCAACTGAAAAGTGAATACATGGAAAAACCTATTTTCATTGAAACGTGTAAGATTCAGGTTATTTTACATGGATAACAATGAATCAGAGGATTTTTTAGCCAGAAAGAATACAGTATGTCCTAAAGTAGGTTTTTAGCTCAACTATAAATAAATGTCTTTGGGCTGAGATGTGGCTGTCCTGAGCTGCAGCCAGCAGAGAGCAGAGAGGAAGCAGGACAAAGTAAATAACTGCATATTTCATGTAGATCACCATCTTCCTGCTTCATGCTGAGAATCCACTCTCTGTATAATTCATTTCTGCTGGATTTATTTCTTGTACATGGCAGAGTGGTTAGAGGAAGAAAGAAAGCACAAAACATTTTTGTTGTATATATATATATATATATAGTTTTAGATTCCATCACTCACAGTTGAAGAGTACCTATGATAAAAATTACAGTCATCTACAAGCTTTGCAAGTGGGAAAACCTGAAAAATCAACAGTGTATCAAATACTTGTTCTCCCCACTGTATGTATATACCTACCTACCTACCTACCTACCTACCTACCTACCTACCTACCTACCTACCTACCTACCTACC